CTAAATCATAGGTACTTCAGTAAGTAAACAAACATATTATTTTCCTTCCATTCAAATAATAGTCCCTTCCTGGATTGTCTTGTGCCCATGGGAAGTACTTTACATTTTTCCACATTGAATTTCATCTGCATCAATCTGCCCAATTCCCAAGTATGTTCAAATCCTCCTGTAACCTATCTTGTTCAGCTTTGCAATCTATCACCTTCATTAGCTTTGGGTTATCTACAAAATTTGCCACTGTACTTGTGACTCCTAGTTCCAGACCATTTATAAAATATTAAACAAAAGAGGCCCTTGTACCTTGTACCACCACTCTCTGGGTCTTCTGGTCAACCAGTTGCATATCCATTGTAATACTCTTCCACTGTATCAAAGACTTTACTGAAATCTGGATATACAACATCCTCAGCCTGATCAAGTTCCTTTGTCACACCATCAAAGTAAACCAGTAAGGTTAGATTGGCCAAACCTCCCATTCATGAACCCATATTGGCTATCATTTATAACCTTATTTCTGCCCAGGTGCTCTGTGATTTTGTCCTTAATAAGAACCTCCATATTTTTACCCACAATGGATGTCAAATTTGTATCCTGGGTCACTCTTGTTACCTTTCTTAAAAGTAGGAGTAACATCTCCCTTTCTCCAGTTCCCTGGCACTCTCCAGTCTTCAGTGATTTGTGCCAGTGTTTCTCCAACTTACTCACTCAGCTCCTTAAAGACCCTTGAATGCAATTTATCCAGCCCCAGAGATTTATTAACTAAGTTTGTGTAGCTGTTTGGCAACCATGCTGGTAGTGATATGAATAGTATTGCAACTTTCTTCTGTGATATCCTTGAGTTCTTGGAGCGGAGGACTCAGGGGACGAGGAGGAGACCAGACCCGGAGGAATGAAGGCAACGGGTACTGTTTTGAGGAGAGAGGAGGTTGGAGAGGTAGGGGGGTGCAGAGGAGTGAATACAAGGGTGAGGATCTTGAAATCGATCCTCTCTGGGATAGCCAGCCAGCGCAGTCTGCCAAGGACTGAGCTAATCGGGGAGCGGAGTTTCGTGCGGGTGAGAATGCGGGCGGCAGAGTTTTGAATGATTTGGATTTTATGGATGTTAGTGGATTGGAGACCAGTGAGGAGGGTGTTTGAATAGTCCAACCGAGAGGTGACAAAGGCATGGACCAGAGTTTCAGCAGCCTTTGTGGAGAGGTATTGGTGGAGACGGGCGATGCGTTGGAGGTGGAAGAAGGCAGTGCTGGTGAGGGACCAGATGTGGGGGAGGAAGGATAATTGGAGGTCGAAACCTGACGCCCATGTTGCGTATGGGTTCGGAGAGTTTTAGGGGGAGGTCGGGTAGGTGGAGGCGGTGAGAACCGTGAAATTTTAGACGTTGACGAGAGCCGAAGTATATGGCTTCCGTCTTGTCAACATTCAGCTGAAGGAAGTTTGCGCTCATCCAGCCCCTGAGATCTGACAGGCAGGCTGACAGAACATCAGGGGACTGGGGGTCGCAAAGAGAGGTGGAAAAATAGAGTTGGGTGTCATCTGCATACATGTGGAAGTGTACCCCGTGTCTGCGGATGACATTCCCAAGAGGGAGTGTGTTGCATTCCCAAGAAAGAGGAGAGGGCCAAGGATGGATCCTTGGTGTACCCCACAGGTGACCAGGTGAGAGCGGAAGGAGAAGCCGTTTGTGCAGATGTACTGCTGGCGGTTTGTGAGGTAGGATTCGAACCAGGCGAGTGCGGTCCCACTGAGGTGGATGACGGAGAAAAGGAGGTGGAGGAGGATGGGGTGATCGACTGTGTCGAACGCGGCAGAGAGGTCCAGGAAGACAAGGAGGCAGAGGGAGCCCTGGTCACAGATAGAGAGGATGTCATTTGTGACTTTCACAAGCGCAGTCTCTATACTGTGGGCGGAAACCGGACTGGAGGGGTTCGAAGTGGGAGTGGGAGGAGAAGTGTGTGAGGAGTTGATTGGCAACAACGCGTTCTAGCACTTTTGAGAGGAAGGGCAGATTAGTAATAGGGCGGTAGTGGCTGGGATTTGAGGGATCTTGGGAGGGTTTTTTCAGGATATAGCACTTTTCACGTCTTCGAGAAGTCGCAAAGCACTTCACAGAATATACTGGAAAGTGAATTGACCGTGTATTTGTGGGTGAACCACGCAACCAGTTGCACACAAACAGTCGTGGATTGAAAATGACCAATTTATTATTGTTTTGGAGGGATTATTATGCGCATGGAGTACGAAAACTTGCCCAAGGTTTCACCCTGCCTGGAATTGAACCCAGATGTCTCGCTTGCAAGGTGAGTGCTCTAACCACTGAGCTAAGGACTCCAATTGTGCACACCAATGCACAAACAGCCACAAAACAAATATCCAATTTTATTTGGTCAGGACACCGGGAGAAACTACCTTTTCTTTTTCAAGTTGTGCCAAACAGGCAGATTGGACCTCAATTGAACGTCTCATCCAAGAATGCAACACACTTGCACCACTGCGCTTGTGTATTATCTTAGACAATGTAACTTCAAGTCCCAGTAAGGGACTTGATCTCACAAGCTTCTGACTCAGAGGAGAGAGTTCTACCAACTGGAGGTTAGGGGAAAATAAGCCACACTTGTTTGCACTTCAAGCCCCATTCTCTCCTGTTTTAAGCCACTCCCATGACACTACATGCATGAATGACGCTATACAAATGTTAATTGTTCTTGTAGTTGTTGAATAGCCTTATTGAATTTGTAGCTTGCAGCTGATTTTTATGTTGCCAGTCATTAAGATATTTCATCTCTGTAATCTGAGCCAAATATTTTAGCAACATTTGCCTTTCCAAAATCCTGTTCTTCAGGTGCTCGCTCTGTAAGTCCCCACCTGTTCTTTCAGAGTTGCTGCCGCATCACCTGCAAATGCAGTCATTGTAGCTTGCAGTAAATCCTGTGAAGAGCTTTGAAATGTTTTGATGATGTGGGAAGGTGCTATATTAAGTGTGATGTTTATTATTATTTATATGTGAAAAGTCAGAATGTGCCCATATAAAACAACAACTTGCACTTATATAGCACATTCCACACAGGGTAGTGTCTCCGAGCGCTTAACTTACATTACATCTATCATCTCATTGGAAGTATTGTGATTTGTTTTTTACCTGGGGAGCAGTAGCAATGATCTTATTGCTTCATTACTACAACAACAATTTACATTATATCGCGCTTTCCACACTTGGAGGACGTCTCAAAGTACTTTACATAGCTGACTGGACACCTAAGTTGAGGGATAGTGGGAGGGTGGTGCAGAAGAAGGTGACTGAAAGCTCAGTTGAAAAGCAGGAGATGCTTCCTTAATAGCAGATGCTGAACAGTCAGTGCTCACCTAATGCTTTCTATGGGGTGAACACAGGGCTTCATTGATCTGGCAGCAAAGGTTGGTAGCATCGACAGATTCATCTAATGTTTCTTATCAAGCAATTTCTGCCCAAGTTGAAGTATATTTGAACACTAATCAATCTATAAAATAGTACAGGATATTTCTTTTGAAAAATATGGAATGGTAAAGTCTAGTTGCCAGTGTCAACTCAATCCTCCTCATGATTGAACGATTTGCATCTTTTGCAGACAGACTGTAGTCGTCTGTAATTGTGCATAATAGTCTGATAATATTTAATAATTACTGTATCTACAGCCTGGAACACTAAGGTGGAGCACTGTTTGGCAATAAAGCAAACCTGTAACCCGTGGGACAAATTAAGTACAATAGGCTTCACAAAGCAACAAGCAGATTTTAGCAAATCTGTGTATGAGCTAGGAACTATTTTAACACTGCCACAGGTGTAGGTATGAGGGCGAACCTATATTCCTCGTATCAGTAATTGTTTCATTGAGTTATCGTTTCAAAAGTGAATTAAGTTAGTTGAATTAAGCTAGTTAGAGCGTATAATAATGGTTGTGTTTAATAAAGTGCCTCTCAGATCAGGAGGATGTCTGAATGCGCTTCTGAAAGGGATTTACTGTAAAGTGTATTGACTGAATTTTGCAGATAAACATGCAGCCAATTTGTGCACAGCAATGTCCCACAATCAGCCACAAAGTGAATGACTGATTTGGGTTCCTGATTCCAGGACAACAGGAAAACAATTTTCTGACACACCTTTAACACAGTGGTAAGATTTTATTGGTGCAAAATGAAAACCCAAATCGAGGCCATTGGCAACTGGGTCTAAAATGCGCTATTTGTAATAGGACTTTAAACAGCATATTTTGCCAATGACGGAAAGTGAGTCAAACTAATCCATGGAGCTCCACTGTGGCAGTAGGTCAGGTTGGAGGAAAGTTCCCATGAGTTAATGATATGGGTCGCTTGGGTTCATTAGTGAGACATGTCCTGTTACCATCAGGAGTGCCGCTATTTTCAGTTCCTTTTACAGAGGTGTGTTTCAGATTCTGGTTTCCTCTAAGGTCACTTTAATCAACCAGTTTCTCTGAGAAAAATAGAAGTGTTTCTGTGGTTTGTTTGCGAGAGCTTGCAGATGTGGCTCTGTGTCATGTTAACGTATGTTTTCCTTATTCTTTTGTGCAAGTTAACCAAGCTTCTGAGATTGGTACCTGCTTAGTTTAAGTTGTTTGCTATTTAAGATTCAGTATACATTTCTGATTACAGCATTTGTTGTCTGCTGTATATAAATAGCTTCTTATATAAAAAAGGCATTTGTTGACAGAGTTCCTTTTGCTCATTATCAAATAGGAGCTGACATTAAGAGTGAAGCAATGTAACCTAAAATAGTCACTGTATGCAGATGAAATATTTGGCAAGAGGCCATAGAAGGATTTGATAGCTTCGCTCCTTCTTCCCTAGTATGTGGCAGTTTGGCTGCAACCCTTCATATCCACTAATAGCTCAGCTGTTCCGCAGCAAAGAGAAGCTGCTACAAAGTTTTCAGCTGTTGATAGGCTTGGCTTGCTGAGAATGCTGGTTAAATATAGCTCAGGGGAGATGAGTCTCTCACAGCCACCACAGCCATAAGATCTCAGGGCTGTCTCAGCACCAGCAGAGGAATCACAGCAGCGAGACTTTAAACAGAAGAGTGACGGACTGCTGTTATCAGAGGCTGAGCGTGAATTCTAATCAGGAGCTTGCGTGGGCTCTTGTGGTGACCAGTTTGTTTGAGGGAAGAAATATCCTCATCCCATTCTCTTCCATTTCCTGCATGATCACGGAGCAACTCATCTTCATCTGTAAAGTGGATGTAGTTGTCTGATCAAGTCTTGCCTGCGGACTGTACCACAAGCATATTTTTAGTCACTAACCTCTCCTTCTGGATCTATTCTGTGCCTTGATAACACTGGTCTCAGGTAAGAGAAGTCTCCTGGCATCACTTTACCAAATGGTTCACAAGCACAGCCTTTCTGACATTTAGTAATTGCATTTTACAAAGAGCAGAGTTTGGATTTATCATGTAGACCAGGGATGGGATGTGCATCTTCTGAACTGAAAAGCATTTGGTTCTTCTTTCCAGATTCTGCTGAAGAGGCACAATCTCACTTGTTATTCAGACATCCATAATATAGACAGACAATGGGCTCAGTCTTTTGCAAAGTTCTAAATAGTTTCGCTAACAGAACAAAAATTTCAGTCAAACTGTGGAGGCCTCCTGTCCTGTTCTGAACTGGAATAGCGGAGATTCACAAGAGAAAGTTACGTCTTGAGGATACTGGGCCATGACTGCATTGTGGTTGTAATTTTTAATAGCTTTTGTTGTGTGTTTCAAATAATATAGATTATGCCTTTAAGTGAAAGAAAGTCAAATAGTAACAAACCATGGTAGATGAATGTCTGACTATACTTTATCTAAGTGTGATTTGAGTGTTTCATAGATTGTTGCTGGCGGCATTATGTCCTGATCAGCTACCATCTGGCTTCTATTTACTCAGTGCTGAAATGGTGAACCCAGAGTCTGTTCAATGTTTTATTCTGCTCCACAGTAAACAACTTAGACAACTTTGGGTGTCATTCATGAAATAAACCTCATGGATCTTCTTCACTCGTCATCGCACCAGCTCTTTAATGCAATAACCCAACTTGACATAGAAATGCATGGAGTAGCATGCAACTCATAATAATAATAATTCTTGCATTTGGTACAGCGCTTTTTCACATCTGTGAGATCTCTAAGTGCTTCACAGAATATACTGTAAAGTGAATTGTATATTTTGTGGGCGGAACATGGCAGCCAATTGCACATAGCAGTGTCCCACAAACAGTCGTGGATTGAGTGACCAAATTATTATTTTTATTATCAGGCATGTGGATTAAGGAAATTTGCCCAAGGTGTCACCCTGCCGGGAATCGAACCCAGGTCTCTTGTTTGCGAGGCGAATGCTCTAACCACTGAGCTACAGGACTCGTGTCATTGACCCGTTCACCAAGATGTGAGGAAGACTATTGATTTGATCAGCCTGATAGTTTTTGTAAATTAGAGCTGGAATTAATCCTTGTACATACTTTGGCTTATGCTTGTGATACAAATTTCGACTCTGTCTAACTTGTATTCATTTGAAAGCTCCTTTTTTTTTTGAAGTTGAGCTATTTATACTAGTTGTGACACTAGCATTAATGCAGCAATCACAGGATTTTCAGCTTTGAAAAGGTTTAGTTTAGTGTTCCAGCAGTTTTACCACAATGCATTGTGTCATTGTTGTGGATTATTCTACAGTTACTTGCAGTAACTGCCCCTCATATCAGTGCCAATGCCTTACAGCTATTAACTCTTCAAAGACCAACTAAATGGAACTTTATGCCAGACATTTGGAAAGCATTTTATACCCAGTTTTTACCATCTTTCAATTTGTTCAAAGGACCCAGTAAATTTACAATTTGTCTGTCTGATGCCTGTAAGAATGAGTTCTGCATTCCTTTTTTTATTATTACAATCCTTGCATCTGATATAGCTCCTTTCACATTGGGAAGACGTCTCAAAGTGCTTCGCAGGATTTACTGTAAAATGTAGGTGAATTCGTAGTTTGTAGGCAAACACGAGAACCAATTTGCGCGCTGTAAAGTCCCATAAATAGCCAGAAATTAATGACTCATTTTATTTGAGGGATTGTTGGCCAGGACACTGGGAGAAACTCCATCCTCTAATATCAATTCTGAACCCTTTGTATGACAATAGGGACAGAGGTGAGTGTACTGTATTTGTATTTTGAAAGTGAGTCACAAAATAAAAGACTGAAAGAAGCATTGAGAGATAACCCCAGAATATTATGTTATCTGAAATTATTATTTAAAATTCTGAGAGGTTTTGATAGAGTAGATAGGGAGACATTATTTGCACTGGATATCCATGTAGATATTAATAATAATCCTTACTTTGATGTGGCACTTTTAATATCAGGAGGATGTATCGAAGCACAGTGAAGTGTAGTAACTGTATCTTGTAGGTGAATGTGGCAGCCAATTTGATTTAATATAGTTATCAAAGGAGCAAGTTTATGAGGACATTTTCTTTTTATGTAGAGATGTGAAATTTGCCCACAACATACAGTCATTCCACTTTATGGTATATCTGGTAAAGTACTTTAAAGCATCCTCCAACACGAAAGGCACTGTATCATGTAAGAATTAAGTGCCCTACCAGGTGTGGTGGTCAAGACAGGATCTGAATTTGCCTTTGAAAGGAAACTCAATAGATATCTAAAAACAAATCATTTGCAGGGGTGTGGGGAAAGGCAGATAAATGAGATTCAGTGCATTGCTCACCACAGACACGATGGGCCAAATGGCCTTCTTTTGAGCTGTAAATTGCTAAAATTCTATGATGTTAGAATCAAAGACTAGATTTGAAAGAAATATGGAAATGTCCTTTGTGATGGTGTCACTCAGGTGACGCAAGATTGATAGTGGTGGAAAGTGGCAACAAGGACTTTGCTCTGCAAAATAGAACACCAATATACATAGCAATTGTAAATTCCAGTGTATACATTGCACATGTATATATATTTCTGTGTCCTCTAAAGAAAAAGGAGTGAAATGGATATCATTCTGACAGATACAAGTAAGAGCAACTTGCATAAAGTATGCTTCTTATGGTTAATGTAGAATACTTATTGGCTTTCAAAGCAGTCAATTACAGGGATATGGGGGAAAGAGCAGGTAAATGGAACTGAAATGATCGCTCTTAAAAGAGCAGTACAGACACAATGGGCTGAATGACTTTCTTCTGTACTGTAGATTTCTATACTTCTGTTACCTGAATACAAAAGTACAATATATACTCGCCGCATATCCCAAAGATCCCAATATATTTTAAAAATAAAGCTTGTCTTGCGTTAACCATGAGAATCAAGTACATACATTACCCCACCGTTTGACCTTTAATCCAGTTACACTCCAACCTTTTGACTGAATTTACTGAAAGGAATCAGCTGTAAGTGATCCTGTGCGGTCTGGACTGTAAGAATATCTCTGTTTTCTGAATTTGCATGAGACTTTGAGTGTAATGCTATCAGAAAGCAATCTAAGTAACTCCTGAAATAGACAAACCATCCACTGAAAACTAGGTTTGAGACTGCATTCAATAGTAGGGGTCAGTCAAAAGGTTAAATCTCCCATACTTCACACTGCCTATGGTTTGTTTACAGATAATGCTCAGCAGATGGTCTTCAGACACATAGGACTTTAAAGTAGTAACTAAAACCAGGAATATACACAGAAGAATGACCTACTTCATCTTTATATCACTAATTCTTGCACTCGTGCCTGTTTAGGTGGATGTTAAAGTTCCTGTGGCTCAACTTGAAAAGAGAATTTCTCCCGGGGCCCTGCCCAACAATTCCCCAATTTTTTTTTAAAAAAGTAGGTAATTCACTTCATGGCTATTTCATAGCAATGCAGAAAATTGGCTGCTACACAGAAATATTTGTCACCCGAAAATAAATAATCCTACCCTTCACAGCAAAATCTTCTGGAGTGCTTCGAGACGGTGTTATTTGATCTTTAACGACCACCTAAAAGATGGCACATCCAACAATGCAGCAGAGCTCCCCCAACCACTGCACTAAGTACTAGACTAAGCTGAAGTACTTGTGAAGTATAGTGATTTTCGCCCACAAATTAATCAGTTAATTCACTTTACAGTATATTCTGTGAAATGCTTTGAGATGTCTTGAAGATGTGATAAGCTGCTATATAAATTGCAAGGATTTTATTATTTATATTATAACTACTGACATGGTGCTTGAATCCTCAAGCTTCTGACCCAGAGACAAGATTTCAGTGCAATAAGTTATATAGAGGCATATTTGAATGCATTAACTTCTCCCTCATGTGCAAGGCCACTTACATAAAATAAGGTAGATCGCTCCAAAGCAGGTAATTCAGCCCAACTAGTCTGTGCCGGTGTTTACACTCCACAATAACTACTGATCCTAATCCCCTCTCCCTTTACCCTTCCCATACCCCTCCATTCCCTTCTCTCTCATGTATGCAGTTAACACTTGTCAGTTAAATTTTTGAGAGATTATCTTTAATCCCCTCAAACAGTTTTGCCTCACAAGAAAGGTTCAGATGAAGAAGCCCTTCAGCCAATTTAGAACCACAGAAACTCAAAACACATTTACAATTGTTTACAAATGATGCCCTCTAGTCACTGACTCACCAACCAGTGGATATAATTTCTCTACCTGCTCTAACAAAAGGCCCTCATCATTTTAACAACTTCTGACAGGGTTTCCTTCAACCTTCTCTGTTCCAGTGAAAATAGGCCCTGTTCCTCATGATTTCATCTATCCACAATACTGCTTTTTTAGCAGTTCCTTAAGGGTCCACCATTGTGGAATCTATCATGCTTCCTGGTTACCTATTTCAGACATTAATAACCTTGTCTTAATGTCCTCCACCATACTCTAGAGGTTGGTTATTAGCCGCCATTTAGACTTTCCAGTCCCTATTGGCTCCTGTTGCCAGGCCATCCCATCACATCCTCTGACCACCTTCTTTTACGCCTGTCTCGTGATTGCTCCATTTATGTGGAGGGAGCTAATGTGAGTCTTATTTCATGAAGCAACACTATATAAATAGAGCTGATTTAGTCAGTTTGGAATTCAAGGAGCCGTGTGAACACTGCGCNAAAAACTAACGTGGACAGAAGATGTCAGCATCACTTTAATCCCATCATGAAATCTTAGATGACATGAAACCTCAGACCTTAAAGCTTACCTTGTGTGTGTGTGTAAGTCACTGCATTCTTTCACAGCACAAGAGATTCTCATCTCAAGTATGGACACTTGACGAGGATGGTGATGTGATACCTCTGTGTATTTTTCGCATTTTTATATATGTATAAAAGTTATAC